GAAATGCCAAATGGATATCCAGGGACTTCAGAAAGATCATCTGCTTTTTCATCTTCAGTGGGTACAAATATGTGCAGCGTTTGGCCATACCTAAGAAAACAAAAAAACTGCCAGTGCAAGCATTTCAGTTCCGAAGTAGGAGGATACATAAATGTCCAAAAAGGAAGGGGATAAATAGCACACTCGGATGTGCACACAAAATCACTAACAAGCCCAAAAAATAAAAATGATTGCACATGACATCTCTGCACAAGCCCTTGTTTTTAATGAGTGCAGCTGGGCGTCAGGTGGATCTGCACTAACGGCCATCTCTCACACTGCATCATATTGGCGTGTGTATGTGTGTAGACAAGTGTCTGACGTGTGTTTCAGCACAGCCTTATCACACCTTCACACACATTGAGCCATCACACCACACATCACATCCGCCAGTGCTGTTCATATGGCGAAGTGTAGCAATCAGCCATTGAGGAATTAAACAGAGCAATGTTGGATGGCCAGTTAGCCATCCTTTGACAAGCCTCGTCCATTACCAAACTGTGAATAAATCACTTTCGCAGCTAGTGCTAATGTGTTTACAGCTGAGGGTCAGGGCCACCAAGCTTCCAGTATGTGGATGAGTGTGAAGGTGTGCACACACACAAGCTTGCGTCTTTTTGTTTACAGGTTTGTGTCAAGGTGTTTACAAGACTGTATAGTTTTGTACATAAGTTATGCTAATGTGTCTATCTTCCCCTGTAATTCATTTAAGTGGCTTTTCTCAAGTGTCCAGCAGAGCTTGTCTGGCAGACCTGAGATTTCCAATTATCAGCTCAGAACCATAACCACTAAGCCATCAAGCAGCCACATGGTCCACTTATAACCAACCATATCTAATTGTTGCATGCCATTTTAGTTATTGGCTCAAAAATGGTTCAACTGTAAGTTCTGATGCACATCGTGTGATATATTAGGTGCTTTTTTTTTTTTCTAAAGGAAGCTGCTTTATTAAACTTACTGGACAGCAGTATTACCTTTATTCTTTTATTCTTCAGTAACTGCTTACTCCTGGTCAGGGTCATGGAGCCAGACACTATGCACACACATCGTCACCTATGGGCTGTTTAACCTAGCCAATCCACCTACCTGAATGATGTGGGGAGATGGGAGGAAACTTGAGAACCTGGAGGACACGAAGAGAACATGCAAAACCTGGCAACATGACAGTAACCCAAGGTCCGGATTGAACCCCAAACCCAGGAGCTGTGGGGCAATATCACTTTTAGTACTGAAAAAACCACAACCAGATTAGGGCTCAGACATTATAGACAAAGAACTCTGGTCTGGCAACCAAAATTGTCGGTTTGCCTACTCAGAGAAGGGTATTAGGGTAGGGTATTAGATTTCTTCAAATTAGGTCAAAATAAGGAACCCCACTGCGCACCCGCTTTCCACTTGGGATAGTCCTTATTTCTGAAGTGTGCAAGTGCTGCCCAAGAATGCTACCCATGTAGAAAACAACCTTCTGATTAGATTGCACTTGTCCCATCAAGTGTGACTTGGGGCTGTGGTCTGCCAGCTAAATTTGAATGATTTTTCTGCACCTTTCCAGGCCAACAATTGGCCATCGCTCACTTGCTACCTTCGGAATGTTTGTGTGTACAGTGTACAGGCGCAAGCACACCGAGCTGCAGTCCATTCAGCTGGAGCTCCAGAGTCCAGACTGCAAGCTGAGTAAGCTGAGAGCCTCCACCATCATGACTGATTACAACCCCAACTACTGCTTTGCTGGAAAGACGGCCTCTGTTAATGACCTGAAGGAAGTTCCACGCCGTAACATTTCACTCACAAGGTTAGCAAACATTGAACTTGTGTACCGTCTGACAACATGCTTTCTTTGTATTAACCTCTTTGCAAGGAAGTTGAGATGGGCCATCACAACATAGCTAGAGCTATAGCCTGCAGCTTCTAGTAACTACAAGAGAATCAGTTCATTCATAGGTGCAGGGTAAGATGGATGCAAGGAAGTGCGAGAAAAGAAATGGCAAGGCCTGTCTTTAGCAATTGAAGATTAAAATCCTTGCATAGGGGTTCTTTGGTAGTCTCTGAGATTCCAGTCAGTAGCACTGAATTTTAACAAGTGAGCTCCTAAGGTTTGATTGTTATAGAAACATAGTTGAGGTTTAGCTAACATTTATTTGATTTTTCTAATACTGTTTATTGTGCTGCTTCAAATCTGGTAGAATCCAGCAATATAGAGAAGCTGTAATGCAAATGGTGTGTGTGTAGGGGTTTGGGTCATGGTGCATTTGGAGAGGTCTATGAGGGTCTGGCTGTGGGAATACCAGGAGAACCCAGTCCCATGCAGGTAGCTGTCAAGGTAAGCTTGAATTATATGCAAAACTCAACCTTTTCTTTTCAAAATATTTTCTACAGCATTCATTTATGTAGAAGTGAAAGAAACTGAGTGAAAGACAGTGGGTGGTAGTGTTTTGAGGTGATTTCTGTTGGCATATGTGTTTCTAATCAGACGCTTCCTGAGGTGTGCTCTGAGCAGGATGAACTAGACTTTCTGATGGAAGCCCTCATAATCAGGTAAACATATTCTCGAAAGACACACATATGTGTCCAAACATATTCTCGAAAGACACACAATGTTCCTTTGAAATGTTTTCTTGACCCCCATTTCCTTTGGCAGTAAGTTCAGCCATCAGAACATTGTCCGGTGTATAGGAGTGAGTTTACAGGCTCTTCCTCGCTTCATCCTGCTGGAGCTGATGGCTGGAGGAGACCTCAAAACGTTTCTTAGGGAGACTAGACCCAGGCTGGTGAGCACACACAAACACACACTTGTAGCCCCTACTTGCTTGGTCAGTCTTATCCTTAATTACGCCATATGTCTTTATGTGAGTCTTACTGCTTGGCCATCTGTTAAGTTTTCCTGTTTTGCTTTTTTCGCTTCCAAGCTTTCAATTTTTTTCCCTCTTAGGAGCATCCTTCCAGTCTGACTATGGTGGACCTTCTGAATATAGCCAGAGATATAGCACGTGGCTGCCAGTACCTAGAAGAGAATCAGTTCATTCACAGGTATAACACACGCTCACACATGCTGTCTGTCCATGTCTAGCAGATGGCTTCTTTGCTATTCCATAGACTCAGCAAATGTGTTCCTCTCAGTCACCTTTTTCTCTCAGCATGAACGGTCCTTTCTAGCTGATATAGAAGTTCTGCTTCGTCTCCACACCCTTGCTCAGGGGACCGTGACAAACGAGTCCAATTAGAGCTCATTTACACTACATGTACAGTCAAATCATTAATCTGGCTAATGTGGAGGCGAAGTGAGACACAAACAGCTTTCTTTACAGACTTATTTCAACCACTACTCTGCCACTATGCCTATATTCACGTCTGTTGAGTCCACAGAGATTCACAAATCTGGCACTCTATCTGCTGCACAACATTTTGTTTCTCAGTAACAGTGTACAATAAAAAATCAAGACTGCAAACCATGTTCAGTTGTTCTGACCTTTAAAAAAAAAGCAAGGGTATCATCCTACTGAAAGAGGATGTCAATAAAGGACTCCCTATAATTTACATTATAGTTGCATGTATAGTTTACACATTTAATAGAGAGACACTATACCTGTTTTTTTTCCTTCAGGACATAATTTAGTTCCTAAAGATTGTTCTCAGTGAATAACTTCCACCAAGTATATTGAAAATACATTTTTTCTGCTGAACTAACTGTGCTGGGAATAATTAAATAAGGTGATGATAATTAACAGCAGAGTGAAAGATTTTTATTCCTTTGTTTTAATTGAAACAAACAACAAATATATTAAACCAAAATATACCAAAAAAAGTATACACCAGTGCAGGATCAGAAGGTGTTAATTAATCAGCAGCTCTGACCGTAGTGCTGGCTGAAAGGTAAATCACTGATTTATATTAATGCAGTAATTTTAAGCAGCAATCATTCCTATAACAACAGCAACTAATCCTCAGGGACTGGAATGGCAGATTTTTTTTTTTATTATTATTAAATATAGTCTAACAACAAACATATTTTAAAATGGTCTTTAACAAAGAATAATGTAATGTGGAGAGTCGTGACAACGGAGTTGGGGATCCAAGTGCAAGGCTTTATTTACAAACGTGGTCAAAACAGGCAGGGTCGAGCACCAGCAAACAGTATAATCCGAGGCAGAGGCAAAAGAGTAATCCAAAAACCCAGGCAAAGGTCAGGGCAGGCAGCAAACAATCAAAAACAAGGAAAACAGGCAGAGGGTCAAAAACACAAGGAAACACAGAAACTAGGAACCCGGAAACATGGAATGGCTAAACACACAGACAATAATCAGCGACCTAGGAGCAGGTGTGAGCAACATTTATACAGAAAACCAACAAGACACATGAACCCAAGGAACCAATCAGAACATAACACACAAACAAGGGTAGCACATGACACGATCACAGGTGGGGCAAGGAACACATGGGAAATGGAGTCCAGAGAACAATGGCAAGAGTCCAGGGTGGAGTGCCCTCTAGTGGAGTTCATGGGCACTCCAGCTGGCGATCGTAACAAATAAGTTTAAACATTGATAAATTGCTATAGTTATTTTTTATGTAAGAAGAACATTTATTTAACATTCATGGAAGGAGTCTACAACAGCGCTTAACAAATATATATATATATATATATTATATAGCAGTTTCATGTCATTGATTATTTTCCTATAATTGCACAGCGTGTCACCTGTTGCTTGTGCTTTATTCCTTAAAATATAGAACATTTGTTTAATTAAAACCATCAGTATACACTCGTGAGTGTGAAAATACAGTATTATTCCACTGCCACACTGTTGTTGTTGTTGTTCCTCTTTTGGCTGTTCCTGTTAGGGGTTGCCACTGCGGATCATTGGTCCGCATATTCGATCTGGCACAGTTTTTGCGCCGGATGCCCTACCTGACGCAACCCTCCCCAGCACACTGTGGCATGCACCCCCAGTGGCTGGGGACGGTTCCCTGGCCGGGAATCAAACCCGGGCCGCAGCAGTGAGAGCGCTGTGGCCTAACCACTAGTCCTCCAGGGACCCATTCCACTGTCACACTATCACATTTAAATTTTCACAGAATTTCCAAGCCCTGCTTTATTAGTACAATCCTTATGAAAATTACAGAATCTCACAGTTCATTTCTTGAGGCTGTCATCATTTCATCATTTGGGTGACTGGTTTTTGCTTGCTTATTTGCTGATGAGATTAACTCAGCATGAGTAGAGCTTATCTGAAAAAGTAAGTAAAAAATTCATCCCAGAAATTGTGGAAATAAAAGTGCAACTACTTATCTAAATAAACACTCTGGTAAAGGTTGAATTTTCTAAATCTTAACACTAATTAAAGTAGAAAAGTATAAACTCTTAAATTGACTTAAAGTAGGTCTATGAAAGCAAAAGTACAAGAAAGATTCATAAAAGAAAAAGTCTGCCTCAATTTACACACTGATTTTAGTGCCTTTTTCACCAAGGAATGTGGGAAAACATTAGCTAAGCCTAACAACAGCTTTATTCCTAATCTCTCAAATGTTAGCTAGCATGATAATAACTCTAGCAATACAGACTAGCTGAATGCCAATAGCAAGCAAACATTTGAGAGCTTGAGATATAGCTAAAACGTTCTACAGATGTCTAATCTCTCAAATGTTAGCTAGCATGATTATAACTCTGACAAACTACATGAATGCCAATAGCTAGCTAATATCTGGGACATTGGGAATTAGCTAAGGCTAAACAACAGCAGCTTTTTTCCTAATCTCTCAAATGTTAACTAGCATGCTAATAACCCTGATGATACAAAACAGCTGAATTCCAATAGCTAGATAGCATTTAAAATATTAGGAATTAGCTACGACTCACTAACAACAAATTTCTAACCTCTCAAATGTTAGCTAGCATGATAACAACTCTAGTGATACAGACAAGCTGAATGGCAATAGCTAGCTACAATTTAAAAGATTAGGAATTAACGAAGGCTAGCTGCCAACAGCTTTATTCCTAATTTCTCAATTGTTAGCTAACTACAAATATATGATTATAGAGCAATGCAGTGTTGTTAGAGAATGCAGTGAGTAGAAAGTAAAGATTCTTCTTTTGGAATTTAGTGAGAAATAGTCAACACCGTCAAACTCAAGTGAAGTGAAGTACTGATATTTAAAACCTAGACTTAAATACAACTACATTGTTGCTTCTCTGGCTCCACTGTAATACCTTCATCTAGCACTAAAGCCGTGTTGTCTTTCACAGGGACATCGCAGCGAGAAACTGCTTACTAACCTGTAAAGGTCCAGGAAGAGTAGCCAAAATCGGAGACTTCGGCATGGCCAGAGACATCTACAGGTATGCTGACCATCACCAAATGCCTTATAGAAATCCAAGACCTTGAAATTATAGAGTTCTATCTGACAAGTCTGTGACGTTAAGCTATTGAGCCATAAATGTTTGCTTGTCAATACTTCTGACCTATTTTGTGGCATCTATTCTTTCTTTCTTGTGTCGTCACTCCTCTATTTTTAGAGGTGGTTCAATGGCAAAGTGGTAAACATATATTAATGTAATGAGTTTCTTTTATGGGCTTCATTTGTGCATAGAACCCTCTAAAATTAACCCTTTCATGCATAAACGTATCCGGATTCTTTAGATGTTCCTTTATTACTTAAAACTGGCCTATGAATTTTGCCTTTTTTCAAATATCACATATTAAAAAAGTAAATGGATTGCCCATGTGTAGGAATAACATGTGAAAGCATAAAGCATTATACCTGAAAAATACTCCGATGTTTTTATAAGCAAATTATTAAACTCCAAGTATAAAATATTTAATGTTGATTACCAAAATTATGTAAAAAATATTTTAATAAAATATAGCATATATTTGGCATGTACCAAGTGTTTACAAGCTTTGTTGCATTGATAATGGCGTACTGTCTGGAGAGCAGAATAAATCAGGATTTAAAACAATTTGAGAATGCATAATTTTAAAAGTTTATTTTTCAGTTTAAACTAACAATGTTCCATCTAACAATATCATAATAAAATTATTGAAAACATTTATGTTATGCAGATGAAAGTACAAATAATTAAGACAGAACATATTACTTGATGACTTGATAACCCAGCACTTCTTAAAATTAAATGAGTAGATAATCAGTTTGGTGCATTTTTTTCATTTTAGTTAGTTTTGTAAGATGCATATAATGAAATAAAAGAATAAGAATAAGGAAATAAAATAAAAGAACTGTGTATATGTCATGTTCACAAACCTGTAAAATAAAATTATATATATATATCATCTCAGGGAGTTTTTCCTTGCCACCGTTGCTTGCTAATTAGGGATAAATTAAAGCTGCTTTGTGACACTGTCCATTGTTAAAAGCACTATACAAATAAATTGAAGTGAATTTAATTGAACCGTATACTTCCAAGGTCTTGAATTATCATTGCTTAGTTACGTGCAGTAGTGTTGTGTTGTGTAACGCCCTCACAAAAGAGTGTGCACTACATACAGTGCTCACTAGCTCACTACTTTAACATGATTTTACGTAATTATAACATTCTAGCTATAAAAACATTCAACATGATGTTGACTCTTAGAGGTGTTTATTTATTTATTTTTTAGCTTTTTGAGCTGATACAGGTAGCTAGTATCAGCTGACTGTTTAGCCTAGCTTGCTGTCTAGATGAGATTTATGAATCTCAGTTAGTCTGGTGATGAGGAGGTTGTTTGCCTTTTTTGTTCTATCTTCAGAGGCAGAAAACGAAGAGAATTTGAGCTGCTTGTGTGAACAGTTGTGCGACTCGACTGTTTGCAGCCACACACATCATGTCCCAAAAATAGCTGTTATTATTTTTGGTTATATTGCAGCATTGGAATATTGCCAGTGAAATATTTCATGACTCTCCTTACTCTCACTAACAGGATTTAACAATTTCTTTTTCACCACCACTCTCTCCTTAATATTTGTTTTGCTCACTTTCCCTCCAACTTGTGACCCGATGGGCTGGGAGATATAAAAGTGCTTGGGTGTTTTTTAAAACCTTGCAATTTCATGAAAAACATTTCATCCACTGGTTGTTAAGAAAGAAATGAGCAAGAAAGCACCCTCATACCACAAGATTTTGATTTTTTCTCTCTTTTTGACCTCCAAAAAAATTTGCTCCTGTCATATTTAACTGGTTCAAAAACATATTAGATTAAAAAAAGAAAAAAACCCACACACTCATTCAAACCTTTTGTATTTTCAGTAGAAGCACTCAGAAGTTCCCAGGTAACTTTAAATGAGAGTGACTTAATGAGTACCTAATAAATATCTTTTTTTTTTGCTTTTTTATTTCCATGCAAAGGAAAGGAAGTTTAATTGTTGATGTCTTCTCTTGCTCTCCCTCTCCAGGGTACAATTAATATTGCACTCAATGTATAAACATAACACTGCTTTAAAATTTCATGTAATCACTCATAATCATAAACTAATGAGGCTCACTTAAAGGCAAATTGAGCTACATTCTTTACAAACACACTGCGACATTGGAACTGTAAGTTTCTGTACGCTTCATTTTTTTAATAATATAAATGTTAACATTTTTTATATGCCACTGAATATAGTATGTGAAGTTTTACACCTAAATATAAATTGAAAGAAATAATCTGATTGAGAGAAAACTTCTAATGGACTGCATTTGACAAAATCACACCTTGAGGTTGTAGAGTAGTGTTTACAGGACTACAGGCTAGTTGCATAAGCCCTTCATGACAACTGAGATGAGTGTACATAAACATTTGTAGTCTTATTCTAACCGAATGTGTTAGCTTTATGTTGATTATAGTTATGTGTTATGACATTCTGGTGTGTCAGTGTCACATGATCAAACATCAAAACTTCATACATACTGTATATAAAGAAGTATTGGCAGTGTAATTAAAGTGTACTTGAGTAATAAATGTAGACATAGACAAAAATTAAATGTAGTACACAAAGTTTCCAGACAATCAGGATATTTTGTACAAAAGTCCTTGAGCAGTTGCTACATCCTCAGAAGCACTTTCAGCATTTGTCCTGACATGTTGCTGATGATGGAACTTTCCCAGCAAAAAAATATCTTACTGAAAATATCTTGAAAAAACGGGCAAATCTATCTATTTCTTATGAGGTTATTATAAGTCAGATATAATACTATTCAGCCTGTTTGAGCTTTTACTCATTTCAAGTTTTAAATTAAAACTCTGTTGACAGATCATTTTGCTTCTCTGTAGAAAGTCTTAAAATTCTTAAAACGAGAAAAAAAAAAATCTGCCAAAGACTCCAAAGTGGTGCAACAGGAATGTGTTTACCCTATCGTTTGGAGAGTGCGAGCTTGAATCCCAATGATGCCATGGCCAGGAGTCAAAGAGGGGAAAATTGTCTGTACTATCTCCCCCCCTATCAATCACAGAGACACTAGCCAATCATGGGTGTCTGTGAGCTCATGCATGCATAAGTGGACGGATAGCTCTTTCCTCCAAGTGTGTTATGCCATCCCCTAATGTTGCATGAGCAGTAGTCCGAAAAGATGCAGTCAGCTGGCTTCACGTGCCTCGGAGGATGCACCGGTTAGGATGTTACCTGCACATGTGATAGGGGAGGGTTGGCTGGAGAGTAGGAATTGGTCAAGACTAAATGAGAAAGAAAATCAGGGAAAATCTAAACAGTTTATTGTAATCTTATAAAAAAAAGAATGATGAAATATATTTGACTACATTCAAGATATTTTCACTTCCTAAAATATCTTTTTTTTGCAGTATTCTCATGTACAATGCTGAACTTTTACTACATCTATCCAATATACATGCCAAATCCTCAAGTCCTGAGCTTTATGCGACTTATCTTTGCTCATTTTTCATACGTTTCTCTGGACCTTCAACGATTAATGAGCCTTGACAGTGTCATAACATAACACTCTGTTATCAAAAATCTGTCACTTGACTGTGGCATTATGTCAACTTGACATCAAAATTGAATAAAGCAGTCTTTATGTCAGTGGATGTTTACTGGAATTAATGTT